GGGGGGGGGGGAAGTTGACGATTTTTTGAGAAACTTAATAACCCTGTGCTGAAAACTTTAGAATGGAATATCCTTAATCCCGATGGGTTAATTAATCTGGAGAACAATCATTATTTAATCTCGAGATTAAGAAAAAGGGTGGATCAAGCATTAATCACGATATCCACCATTCAAAAGTTCCCAGCTCTGGTTTATGAACTATACAGTGGTATATTGTGTCTAATCCTAATCCTATCTTGATAATTTTCCCTTTAAAAAGTGGCCTAAAAATATATTTTTTTTGCAACTTATTTTGTCGCTAATTTGTAAAATAAATCTTTTTAACCATTCAATGATAGATAAGATTTCAGTGCTGTCTTAATATTTGATACTTATAATATGTGTTTTGTCATAAGATTTTTTCCCGATGTTTTAGTTGATATTTTGATATGAACAGGTTGATGTTAAAAGTTGACAATGTTTAATTCCTAATTAAATTTCTTGATCTAGTCAATAGTTATATGAATCTGATACAGGGTGTTCCACGAAACATGCTAGTTGGTGAATAGTTTAGAATGTCTTTTTCCATAATTTGTTAAGTTTTTTGATACCAAAGATCAAAAAAATATTATATAACATGACGTTATATTAAAATTGTTTTCAAAGTAAAAGATATTGAAGCAAAAGATTTTTTTGACTAAAAATAACGATTTATTAAATGTCATGTTTCGTGGGACACCCTGTATGTAAAATTGCTTTGCTTTATGCAGCTATATGGCTTATATCTTCTTCTCAGTGCTCGGGATCCATTTCATTTTGATATAGATCCAAATTCTGAAATCGGTGTTTTTAAAGTTCAATTCAAATCCAGCTGATTTTATTTTTGTGAAGGTTTCGGCTGTCAAATACTTGCAGGATGAGGAGGTTAGGGTTAGAGGAGCTGCAGGTGGGAAATAACATTTTATCACAGCTTTTCCTTCCTTTAAAAGTCATTGTGGAACTATTTGAAAAGATCACTTTTGCCTTATTTGTTAATGTTAAAATATGTAAGTAGTTAATTCAAGATTTATTTTACTTCATGACACCTTGAGATGGATTAAAAATAAAATTTTGCCTTTCAGTTGTTGTTTAGAATAATTTAATGGGAATTAAAATAACTGATCTAGAAAAGACAATTTAACAAAAGATACAAAGATACAAATAGAAAAGAATCGTTGATTACTCCTTAACCAGTGCTTAGGATCCACTTAATTTTAATGCGAATCCGAATCTAGGATTCTGGATCCGCACTGGAAAAAAAATTATCCGGATCCTGGTCATTCTTTAAGATTTACTGAATTTTTTAACAAAGCAGAATTTTCACATTTGTTGTCTTATTTTTTCGCTTATTTTTATGCTGAAACTTGATGAACCATTGAGGAAGTAGAACATTTTTACAATCTCACTTTTTTCAGATTTGTGTTTTGAGAGGAGATAAGTTTTTTTGCAGTTTTGGTTGATATTTTATCCTTTGGATCGGGATGTGTGGATCCGTATATTTTTGTTGATTCAGATCCGGATCCAGGAAGCCAAAATCTTGTGGATTCAACGGATTCGGATCCTAATTCTTAGCAGTGCTTTTAACCCTCATTAAAGTTGCCAATAATAATTCATGTTTTGCTTTAGGAGAACTTTTGGGAGAATTGTGCAGATTGCATGGAGTACAGATATACAGGGACAAAAAAGAACAGTATTGTAATATACAAAAATAAAGAATGAAAAATGAAATGAGTTAATTTTTTAAGTCTGGTTGAAACTATAGGTTGGCAAGTGGTCAGTAAGAATGAGAAATGTAGACAATTTTCTGTTTAAAAATGTATCCTTTGTCACTCGGTTTTTGCAATATTGTTACTTTTTTTAGAAGGAACAGAGCAAAAATACTGACTTTGATTAAGAACAATCTGGAACGAAACCTAGATACAGGAAAATTTATGCCAAGTGCACAAAATGAGATCTAAAATCCCTGAGATCAATGGACCCAAACAGGCATGAGGTTTACTTAATCTAGGGGTTCATCTAATGCTTTATTAGCAAGTTTAAAACTTCACTCTGTAGCAGGGTTTTTTTAGGCTAGAAACTATTTGATTTTATAGACGTAATACTATTTTTCTGGTGTCTAATGTAATGCTTAATGTCTAAATGTCGTATGTTATGGGTGTACTTTGTAAAATGTTTAGTTCACCTAGTTAAATTCAAGATGAATCTCTGCCCTTGTCAATATCATACAGAAATTTACCAACAGCTAAAAAAATTGGTTTAACAGATATTGAATTACACCTTAGGAGATTTGCAAGGTTCACAATTGCTTCTTTAAACTCTTTGTCTGTGCAAAACTCAGGAGATATTTCTTTCATCTGAAAATTAATGATTTTCGAATTTTTGTGTTCTATAAAAGTGGTTGTAAGCCCTGAGATCTGTTCAAGATTTTAAATTTAAGATATTGTCCTCATTGTTACTAAGATAAAATTTTCATATGCATCAACTATTAGGTCTTGTTGTAAGTTAGGCATTTGAAAGGGAGGACGTAGGTTCACTTGAAATCACATTAACAGTCCCCTTTAAAACAATTATTCTTGGGGACACCATGGGTTTAAAGCTGTTTTATAGTTAAGTGTTAAGGATCCAGATCTGGATTTATTGGATCCGCAACATTTTGGGTTCCTGGATCTGCAAAAATATGCCGATTCACGGATCCCAGGGGGAAAAAATCTAACAAAATCACAATTTTACATTTAAAACACAAATCCAAATTTTAAACTAACAAGAGATTAATTTAAACTTCCTAATCTATGAAAGATTCACTAATGTTTCAGAATAAAAGCGAAATAAGTAATAGTGTTCAAACTTTTCGTATGATAAAAGAAAATCAGTAAATTTTACAGAAATGACCAGAACTGTTGATCCAGGATTGGATCAGCATAAAAATTAAATGGATCCTAAGCTTTGTTTTTACCTAACCTCTCACCCCTGAATTAATGGAAATATCATGAATTTGGCTGATAGAGAATGATGGTGCTGTGAAAGAGAAGGAAGAGGTCGGCAAACTCTTTGATAAGCTTGCTGGGATCACACCAAGAGATGCTGCTCAGGTAATGTTGGTGGTGTAGTTTATCATATTGGATTATCACAAAGTTTTAACAAGAAAATGCCATAGCACTTTATATTGCTTCAAAATGGTTCAACTGTTCCTTTTTTTATCAAAAGACCTTCATAAATTACAATAAAATTAAAGTTATGGTTGATTTTGTTGCTAAAATGGAACAATCAGATACTTAAATCCAATAAATTATATATATTAGGTGTTTCATGATACAGCTGGGTGGAAAAATTTGGAAACTTCAATGAAGTGTCTGCAGCATATGGTGGAAGGTTGCGGAAAAGGTGATGATATTATAACAAGACATACTTTCAAACTTCAGATATTTTAAGGCCTTTTTTGTAATAAAATCTGAAGTGTGGAAAGTTATTATCTAGTGAGTTATTGAGTTCAAATATTAAGCACTCCGATTGTTCGATTGTCAATCTTATATGCTTTTCTGAACAATAAAGACAATTAATGAATTTTAATCTGTAGCTGATTTTTGAGAAGTGGTAAACGGATTTTTTACTAAAACAGTGTACACATATTATAAAACTCTTTATTTATGACATCTAGAGCTAAAAACAAAAAGATTATACACAAATTTTGTGCTTCACTTTTTGAGGTTTGGAATTAAAATTCCCAGCCTTTAGAGGCTGTTCACCTTATTAAGATAATCTTAGGAGTTGAGTTAAATCGATATTTCTAAGAATTTTACAGAGCCTGAAACTATGAATTTCAATTAAGTCCAAAAATCCTGTTATTTAAAAAATATTTCAAATTATTTGTTTATATCACATATTAATCCAACAAGAAAAGGTCCAAAATTGCCAAACTGATCAGGCTCAAATTTGTGTGGCACCTTACAAATGTTAAACAATTTTCATAATTGGTTAGTGTTTTGCACAAATGCACAAAAAAAGGTTATCAAAAAAACTTTTTCAAAATGAATGATGTCAAAAAAAATATTAAAATTATAAAAAGGATTAAAAAAAATAGGACGACTTTTTAAATATTGAAAATTGTACAAAGGAACAATGTTAAGTGGTTCGAGACACATCTTTCTATAGTCATGTGACATTTTTTTTAAAACATGATGTTTTTTTAATTCGTTGATTATCCAATTAGTTTTTTTCTTTAATGAATAATGCTGTTTATTTGCACCTGTATAATTTGTTGCATGTGCAATAAGGATTTGACATTTTCACTGAGAAAGTTTCAGTCGTAATAAAACTAATGGGATGATTACTGATGTTCATCTAGAACTCATTGTTCTAAAACATTACTAAGAAAATTATATCATGATATGAGTTAAGAAGAAAAGAACATTAATAGCACATAGTAATAAGAAAAAAATTTGATCAATATGATCTTTCAGAATAGTGAAACACACTTTGCAATAAACAGATTTAATTTTTTCTGTTACTTCATCAGTTATTAGCTCCAGTAAATTAAACCTCTGTACCACCAGGTTCACTGTTATATTTCAGAACACTCAGAATTGCATGAGAATTACTAGGTAGGCGGTTAAATTGCTTATCATTGCCATGAATGTTGTCTTGTCCACGTAGAAGAAACCCATGGCATCAAATGCCTTTTGACTTTCAATCATATCAATAACTAAAATAAAAAAGATTTCTGGTATCTTGTTCAGAACTTAAAATTTTGATAAATCATTTTACAAGGCACATGTTAACTTTTGTCCTATTATAAATCCTTTGTTGGTTGTAATTTCAAGGAAGATTCAAAATCTTTCCAATCTCTTTTTTCTAGATTATATTACCTAATCCAAGTTTTTGGTGCTCCATTTCTTTAGTTTGATCATTTTCAAGGATGAAAACCCTGAACAAACATTTAATTACAAATGAATTAAAGTAAAATATGATTGACTAATATGGTTTCAAAATTACTTGGAAGTATTCCAGTCCAAGATATAAAAAAATCCTTTTTTTCCCTTATGTTTGGATGGATCTAGTCATAATACAAAATTAAAAGAAACAAAATTGAACACTAAACCAAAGTGGTATCAGCTCTAGAGAGATCAAATTATTTTTAAAATCTTCTCTTTAAATCATCAAATTTTCAGTTGCTTTTTGCTTCCGACAGGGAGCAAACCTCTCACAGTAGCTTTCGGCTTAACAGTTCAGAAGATTTATCCTACAGGGAAGTAGTGAAACATAGGATTTAAATAGTAAACAAGAAGATTCCACTTGGTGGGGCTTTAAGGCTTTCAACTCCCCATTTTGCATAAGAGGTGCAGTTATGGGTTTCCTTAATTCCCAATAAGTCGGATAGACTTTAAAAGAAGGAAAGCAGGGATCTTTTACTGAAATCCCTCAAACACTTCCTCCTCCAAACTTCCTTATCTCCTTCCTTCCTGCTCCACAACTCAATGTCACAAGGACTACTTGGAGAGGCCTCAAAAAGTAGAAAATGCCCCATTCAGGAAATAGCTACTCTGAGGTACTCAAAAGATAAAAAATAAGACATCCCCCCATCCCCCCTCCACTTTACCCTGAATAGAAAATATACTAGGAATATGTGTTTGAATGCTAAATCAGTTTGAATTTAGTTTCTAACTCATCTCTTGTGTGTAAACAAAACAGTAAAATAGGAAAGCAGGCCCCTCACCTAGTTCTAAAGTTAGCAGCTTATCTAATAGCTAGGATGATGTCCCAATAAATTTATTTTTATCAAAATTAGCTGAAATATGAAAGATGTAAGAACAAGAAGAAAATGAAGAACAAGATATATGGAAATGTCAAAATATTTGCATTTGCTATCTTATAACTATTTAGAGAATATTGTTAAAAATTGTTGAATTAAAAATTGATGTGTAAAAAACATAAAATTTTGAAATCATCATTGAATCTTTATAAAGAGGAGAAATAGATCAACTATCTGTACTTTTGCTTTTTGTTAGTTTAGAAAATTCGCTTTCTTAACACAGCAGACATTTGTCTGACCCATTTAAAATTATTTTTGATTGCAAATTTTTACCAAGTAGTAAATTAGTCTCACCTCAGCTTGTCACTAATTGACGACAGAGCTAAACAACTTTCATCACAGAAGCTGAATATGTAACACAAAAAAAGAAGACAGCTCAGTGTGAATGGCATTAGTGGTATTAAACCTTCCACATGTTCAGGATTTTTAAGAAGTCCAGTACAAATAAAATATGTATAGAATATGCAAAAAGTGAACATGTAAGGTAGTAAGAAGAATAAAAAAGGACTAAACCCCTTTTGAACCCTTTGCAGCTTCTTTACAGCTGTAAAAGACTTTTCAATTAGAATGTCTACTTCTTGAATGTTTTCCAATGTGCTCACATATTCTATGAGATCATTGCAAACAAGGTTGACAATAAGCATGATTATGGTGGAATTGCAAGTGAAAGAAATATTAATTGCTGTTTGAGATATCCATACATAGTTAAAATTTTGGTTGATCATGTGGTAAACACTAATGGCAATGGTAGCAAAGTTGGTTAAGACAAATGCAATAATCCATGGCATTTTTGTGATTGATTTAGCAGATGGGTCAAGTTTTGCCTTCTCAACAATGTTAGATACTAGAATTGGTGAGGCAAAGGGTATTATAATTCTCATAACTAAGAAAACTAGCGATGTCATTTGTACAACTGTTGAATTTTGTTGAAATAAAGCCATGTTTAAAATGAAGTCAGCAATTAGGTTTTTAACAGGTATTGCTGCAGGAATGATAAACCATAGAATGTAGGCCACTACAGTTTTATAAGATAGAAATTTAAACTTCCAATCTCCATTATCCTCTTCAGATACTGGTATGATTCCTGTTAATTAAGTAATTAGTGTTTATTTCTTTAAGTAATTTTTTTATATAATTAACTGTTTTATTAGTAACAATTAAACAAAAATTTGATTTTTCAGCAACCAAATCATAAAAGATAATAAATATTTAGCTATTCCATGAGGTTCAAGCAAGATTATTTTTTTACTAATAATTTAAAAAACCTTACTCTTGTCCCAAGATTACTGTTATTTTTTAAAGTTTAACTTTGATACAAATAGATCAATTAATGATTTTATCTGGAATTTCAAATTTGTGAATTAAAGTTTCTTCAAATCTTATGGTTGTGCCCTCTGATGAATTAATTCTGTGTTTATTTCTAGAAAAGTTTTATTCCTAGCAAAAACTTGATTTGATTTATTTAAGAATTTCTATTAAAAGAAATTTTGATTTTGTACTTAAAAAGGCTTACCGGTCTTTTAGCCTATACTTAATTTCATCTCTGGGCTCAAACATAATTGCTTGAAAAAAGGTTCAGTCTCATTGTGTTTTCTTAACTTATTTTTAAAACTTGTTTGATCAAAAGGCTGACTTTCACTCAAAAATGTTGACTTTTTTTAGACTAGATATAAATGACAAGTGTTTTTCATGAAATTTCAGAAAAATAAGTTGCTACAGTTTGAACTCTACATATTTGTTAGATATTGTCCCAACAGAACTGGACAATATTTTGTCTTAGGTCTAGGCAATTCTACCTGTTCTTATTAGAAATTGTAGTATTGTCATAGTAGAGCTTTTTCTAGAACTAGTTATTTATCTGATAACTTTACTAAAGAAAGTTGTTCTTCAACCGAAAACTAATGGCGAACAGTGCCTCGTATTGATCCAAATGCAAATATTTAGAGGCCAAAACAAGAGATAATGGGTAAAACATGTTTAAATATTTTTTTACCTGTATGCATATTAAGTGTGATCAATATTGGAATTTAGCCAACAACCCACTGGGGGTTGCTGAGTTTTTACTTAAAAAATATTGCAAAAAAAAATTTCAATCATAATTTTACATTTTACTGTCTCAAGCTTTTTAGCTTAAATATGTTGAAATTGTCTGGATAATTTAATATATTTTTTATTGTTGAATGACTTCAGGATTTGAAAGTGAGTTCAGTGCAGAACTGTTTAATCTTCTCATCACCTGTCTGGATCACACCAACAGATTTGTTCGGTAAATACCCGTTTAATTATTTTTCATTTATTACTGAAAAATGGTTAAGTAATATTTACTGATACAATATCAATGATAAAAAATTTTACTAGAGAGACAGGGTACTACGTTTGTGCTACCCTGGTTTCTGCGTGTTCTGGTCAGAACACTGAAGACAATCCATTGATAACTCAAGATGCCATGAATGTTGATGAAATAGCAGCAGAAGCTCTAGATGAAGATCTGTACTCACCCATACTCATCTTTGGAAATAAATTGAGGTACAATATTAACCTCAATCAATAATAGTTATGTAAAAAGAAATCCTGATCAATTATCATTCTACTCTTTTTACTGCTGCCACATTTTTTTTGATCTACTTCTAATTTATGAACTTACAATTCATTGAATTGATATCTTATAAATCTTGAATCCTTCCCTTATTTCCATACAATTTTGGTCTACAATTTAAACTGGTGTTATTCATGCTTAAATAAGGTTCGAAATAATTAATGATTTAGTAAAGCTTTTAAATAGTTGGATCCCTGTTGTAAATTTAATGATTTGGTCTTGTTATAAAATAGCTGGGTTCAGTCCTAGTATAGCTGGATCCATGGTATATAATAAATGAATTTTCATATGAAGTAGCTAGATCCAGATATTTAATTAATGAATCCTCATAAAATAGCTAGATTCAGATATTTAGTAAATAAATCCTGATATGTAATAGCTAGATCCACATATTCAATAAATGAATCCCTATTTAAAATAGCTAGATCCAGATTTTTGATAATTAAATCCTGACTTAAAATAGCTAGATTCAGATGTTTAACAATAGGATCCAGGTTTACACAGATGGAACTGGGACTGAATTACTAAATGGAGAAACAAAATAATTGGATCCAGTTAAAATTAATTGGATCCAGGTATAGATTAGACAAAGTGAATCAGGGTTTAAAGGCTAATCTCTGGATTATGTTTAGTATCCACTTGGCGAAAGGATTGTCAGATAACTGGAGTCAAGTAAGGCTAGCTTCAACCACAGCTACAAGGTAAGAATTCATCATCCAGATTAGGAAAGGGAAGCCAACACACCATGAGTCCCCCAATGCCTTATTATTAAACTCCATCTGGCTTGCAGTGTCATGTTCAAGCTCATGCAAAAGGTAGTGAAATAGGTCATAGAGTACTCACAGAATTTTGCCACACCCTGCAGTTTTTCCAGCCCTTTCAATGAGTGTGAAATAGATAATATTCTAAGAAAAGAACAAAGTTTAAAAATAATAAACTGTTTTTTTAAAATTTATTTTTAATGATTAAACAAATTCTGTTTAACACTCCATGATACTGCTTGGTGTCGGCAAAGTTCTGCAAGCTACTACAGTTTAAACAAGACAATTGTATTGTTTATGGCATCTTAACGCCACCTCCTTTCTAGTGTTAAGACAGTATTGATTGTTGTAAAATTGGAGTAAGTGCAAATTGGTGTATTTATAAATGTTACAAGTAGCGGGCCAAATCTAGCATAAAATAGCACTTGCATCTTTTGAAAGGTGACTTATCCTGCAGATTAACTATCAGACTAATAAGGTACTCTGTCTTCCACCATTCACCAAGTTATTTGAAGAACTTTTAAAAGCTATTTTATTTAGTTTAATTTCTAGAGTGTTCCTTCTCTCTCTAACTCCTGAGCAAAGAAAGCAGTTTTATCCAATTTTGTTGCCGCGCCTTTGTCTTAACAGATACTATTTAGCTGAAGGTAACGCCCATTTTACCATATCATACTAAAATCTATTCCATATATTTATATATATATACTTGTCATGTTTGCCCCGTTTGTAAAAAGTCTGAACTGATCAGGAACTATTTATTTATTGGACCTAACATGATAAAAAAAATAGATTTTTGTACTTATGGAAAATTCCACTCAAATTTTTTTAAAATTCGAAAAATATTTTTATTGTTTAACTTTGAGTTGTTTACGCTAATTAGTGAATATGCAAAATTGTTACCATGGAATCAGCCTGTATAAAAAACCAGACTGGGGTTCCTGCATGGAATTTAAGGCCTACTGACAATAGTATTTATTGTTGTTAATTAGTTTTAGTTTGTTTACTAAACAAAGGGAGAATTAGATATTATTAAAGTTTTCAAGCAAGAGAAGACTCATCTTAAATATTAAATGATGTAATTAAAATAAAAAGTTTTATCATCATTAAAAAAACAGGCATCTCATATTGGCAGTTGCCTGAAGGAGTTACGCACGCTTGCCGCATTTAATTACAAGAAAGAGAGACTAGTATATATTTTAGGGTTAGGACAGGTTTAGACATCTTCTGGGCATAGTCCTGCGGCAAGGACTGGCTAGGGAGCCGAGCGCCGTGGCTAGAACAGACTCTCTCTGTCTTATAATTCACTTCGGCATGGGCGTGTAACTCCGTTGGGCTTCTCTGTCTCTTATAGGCATATATTTGAGATAAAGTAATGTTCAGGAGTCCGTCTCTACTCCCAGCGGACATGGAGTGAGGTGGTTGGAGCTGAAGGTTGCACACTTGTCAAAGATTTTCTCAAGGTCAGTTCAATACAAATAAATGTATTATTGCTTGATTGCGAAATTTTCAGACCTGCATTTATTATTTTTTTCATATGTATGTAAATTATAGATAATAGATTAATCCCTTACGGTAGTTATGTGCAGAGCGGCAAAAATTGACAAATTTTTTTTTCGCTTTATTTTAACTTGGGGGAAATAAATACTTTTGTGTTTGAAAAAATATGCATTTTTTCACGGTGTTGTTCTTTAAGAGCAAAAAAGTTTATAGGGTGTGTCTTACAAACATCAATATCTCACCTGGACAAGGAGATATGATTTTAAAGAAACCTGTTTCCTGGTTCATGATGAGTTTCATGCAAACCTATATCATCCTCTAGGTATTTAAAATAGTATATTCCCTCTATGTTGGGTCCTTAGAGCCTGTTTTGTGCAAGTTGTTGTGAGTGGTTGGTTTCTTAAAACACAAATAAGGAGTAAAATATGTAACTAGACGTTCTTGAATGTACAAACCTGAGTTTTGGAAGGAGACTCATAAAAATGTATACACGCAAAAAGGTCTGGTAAAAGAAATTAATGGAATAACTTTAACAGAAAAAAAAGTTACTAAGCATATAAAAGGTGTATCCAGCTTTACAGGGTGTGTCTTTAAAAAAACATAAATATCTCACCGGGACGGAGTGATATGATTTGATTTAAACCTGTTTCCCATCACCCTTATGTATGAGAAACAGGAACAAGTTGAATTTGCTCTGCAATACCAAGTTAAACTTGTTTGTTTTAATGAACACTGTGTTTTGGGCAGGAAATTGTTGGATAGAAACAAAAAGATATTAACTATCTCTCCCTATTCTTCCCCACCTTTCCAGGTCCTTCATTTTTTTCACTGTCCTTTTCTACCTTTTCCTGTTCTTCCCTGCCTTTCCTTTTTCCTTTCTTTCCCATCTCTTCCATCCTATCTTTCCCATTCTCTTTATTAATAACACTTCAAATATTCAAACAATTACTTATAACATTTTAATATGATTTATTTATTTTCATTTTAGATTTTGCAAAGAACAAAATGTTTTAGTTCTCATCCAAGAATATGATATTTGTAGGAGGTAGTTGAGTACTACATAGAGGCTACTCAAGCTGATAACCATGCTGTCCGCGAGGCAGCGTGTCAATGTATTGCAGAGCTTGCTAAAAAGATCAATCTGGAAGCGCTACAGCCATACGTTCAACATCTTCTCAGGTAGTTTCAGCTTCTTAAATTCAAAATATCGGCTTATTTAATTTAATATATATCATATGAGGTTTTTTTAATGTTTACACAGTTTGTTTGCTCCCGCTCATTATTTTCAGTTTTGGGCGTGTTACTCTAAAATATTGACATATTATTATTGGAGATGGTGGGCGTTTGGATTACTTTGTACTCGTTTATAAATTGTGTGCGTTGGTTAGAATATTTACTTTATTAGGCGTGTCTTGCTATAGTTTTTTTCATTAATTTAACTGTTTACCATCTTGGGCGTGTCAGTTGTAACACTATTCTTGACATTTTTCCAATAATAAACTTTTAAGGATAATTTTTTTACACCTTAAAAAATCCAACAATTCTTCTATTGGGGAAAGAAACCGAATTTTTTATTTCCGTTTTGGCTATTGTTTTAGAACATTGATCGAGTGCTTCAAAGATGACTCTTGGCCAGTGAGAGACATGGCATGTGTGGCTGCCGGTAGCTTTGTCTGTTGTTATCCGGAGGAAAGCAAAACCGGTTTGGATATTCTTCTCCCGCTGTTCTGGTCAAACATAGCGGACCCAATATCGTCAGTTAGGCAGGGGGCAGCCATAGCTCTTGCAAACACTATCAGGTAGATTATGTAGATGGATTTTTGGCGGGCTAAGGAACTAATCACTCGCCTTTAATAGCTTATTCGTTTATCACCTTACCTTTGTAACCTGATGTGTACATTGTTAGATCTTTTATGTTTCAAGCCATAAAAAGAAATTAAAGTTTTTTATCATTCATTTATTTGAAGTAAATCAGTCAAGGGTTTATAAGTTATGATCAGACATATAAGCAGACAAATAGAGATTGCTATTTTAAAAGTGGATAACCTGCACATGCAGTTTTGCTCTATTGGAACATGATAAATATTTTTAAACTCGAATTTTTTAGAGCATATGGATCAGAGATACTCCCTGACATAATTACTAAACTAGAGACAGGTCTGGAGAACTTGACAAGTCAACCTGTAGAATCTGAGAAATATGGAGACTTGGATACAAGGAATAACAATGGAGCTTTAATAAGCTAGTACACATTACACAAATAGTTTAAAACAGCAAAAATTGTTCAATTATATGCTGTAATCATCCTGTTGCTTATGTGTTAATTGATTGATTGGTCTTTACAAGGTTAACCACTAAGGGAGGATAATTTTTAGTCGACTGCAGAAAATTTAAGTTAGATAAGAGTTTTTAAATGTACGGTTTCCATCAGCTCTAAACTAATTATGTGCTATTTGTGCAATAGACTATATAATATATATATATATAAAATATTGTAGTAGTAGTAATATATATATATCTATATATATATATATGCTATATTTTTATTTTATTAATAACTATCTGATTTATTTTTAATTGACAAAAAGTAACCTTCTTTTATAATTTTTGTAATTTGAAGGAAATATTTTGTAAAAAATAAAAAACTTACTCTAGATTTTATTTAGTTTTAGCAATTTGGACCTGGAGCGTGAAATAAGAAAGTCGCCAACAGTCTACTTAATTTAAATTTATTTTACTTAATTTAAATATATAAAGTGAAAGAAGTTAAAAAAACAAAAACATATTTTCATTGTTTATCTGTGACAGTCCTGCCAACTTCAGTGTCGCTAAGCGGATCCGTGATAACGACGTTGAACTACATGAAGACCAGCAGATGTATTCTTGTGGATCTCTAGCTCCTAAGATGGGGCGGGGAGGGGGAGGAGGGTGTACTGACTCAAAATTCAGGTAGACAACATATTTCAACCAATGGAATTTATATGCAAATGCATTTTTTTACACAAAAATTCACAATTTTCTCAGTTCAATTTTGGCGTGTTCGATAATTGATTGACTATCTTGGTCCAGCTTAAAAAAAAATATTTTTAGAATTTAGATGCATTAGTCCTGAATTTAAGTTTGGTTTATTTTGCAAAAAAATATATTTAGACATGGAAGCATTAGTACTGAAAGAATTTTTTTCTTATTCAGAAAAGTGTCTGAGCCCTGGGAGCTAGCAGATGGATGTGTTCACCTGGTGGGAGAAATTGCAACTATAAAAGTATGATTTTTTCTTCATATTCCCCCCACTCCCCCCCCCCCCCCAAAAAAAAAACAAAAATTCAGCTAAAACTGGTTTTAAGGAATGCGAAGAAGAATTGGACAAATTACTTTCTGCTGTAGCAAGGTAGGTTAGTTAAACAAATAAAAACACTTTTAAATATTTTTTAGATTTTTACACCGCCTTAATTCATTTTTTTCTTGGTGCAGGGTTCAAGAGCACAAGCATTATGTTAATCATCTTCATTTATTCCAAACTGTTTGTGTCAGGTGATTGATTATTGATTAATGTTATTAACTGTTTAAATATTTATTTCGAAAATGTTTCTAATTATTTATATGAATGTGCTGCTCCAAGGTTTGCTGGAATAGCTAAAGCTGTAAATAAGAAGATCCTAAAACCACATCTAGAGGAATTTTTTGATATTATTTTCTACAGTTTAGGTATAACTTGTAACGTTCGTTTAGATTTCTTTAAAAATCTTAGACCGACTTCAAAGAATTTCAGCTGAGCTGTTTATAATTTTAACCACCGATTCATGATCATGGAAGAATTGAATCGGTGGTTCAAATCTGAACCGGTGGAAGACAGTTCTGCAAGGTTTAGACGTAGCTCAAATTCTTTAAATTCGACCTCTATCAATACAAAGTCATGTTTAATTTCAAAGTGAAATCAGAAACTGGATTATTACATAAATGAAGAATGTTGATGTTTTCTAATGTTTTATTTAGAAAGTGAGAATGGTTTAGCAGAATACGCTGCAGAAGATTGTTTAAATACACTTTCAACAGTTCTTGGTCCCAATATTCTCAGGAAATTAATCTATCAATTAAGTAGTGTTTTTCAAAACAATCAAATTATTCAATTATTTTCATTTTATTTTATCAATAAAATATCAGTGCGCTTTCTAATCAATTAATTCACTTCCTAACTAATCAATAAATCAATCCGTGCACTTTCTTATTAATCATTTAATCAATCAGTGCACTATTAATCAATTCACCACTATTAAACAATTAATCAATTTTAATTGACAAAAAGTAAAACAGTAAATAATTTAACTTAATAGTTAAATAATATTATATCAATCTTTTATTAAAAATTATAAAAAAAATAAAACACCAATTATTAAATTATGATCGATTCAATATTTTGAAAAAAATTATTAAATCTATGTTTTGTTCTTAAAATTGATAGATTTCATTCTATTGATAAATCGACTTTTAAAAAATAAGATTAATTTGCGATGAAGAGGTCGGATAGAGAACTATAATCCGTCCTACCTGTCTAAACTTGACAATATACGGGAGCCCATGGATGGCCCAGGGAGACCCTTCGGTTCTAGGAAACCTTGTGGAGTCCTCTCGACCTCCCCTTCACGACCCTTCTCTGACGGAGATATGATGGTTGGGATGGAATCAGGAGGTGGAGGAGCTAGTAGTCCTAGGTCTATTCCAGGCTCAGGTGAGCAAAGTATTAAGCCTGAAATCCATCTAATCTCATGAAAAATCCCTTACCCCCTACCCACGCCGAAAAAAAGTGAAATTAGCTTCTATTTTTAATTTTATTCTTAATGCTTATAATGCAATTATGAAACAAGGGTATTTATGTTATCTCACTCTACAGACTTGATGCCTATACCATTCAAATTTATCTTTTTTTTTATAATTCTAGCTGAAGTGCCCGGCGTTGCACCTGGAATTCAAAAATCAGTTTGAAAAAAAAAATTTATTTTGAAGAAGAAAAAAAACTTTAGTTTCCTACAAAAAATTCTGACAGTTTAGCCAGCTATAGCTAAAAAATATAAACAGGGTTACCAACAAAGGATGAGTATAACTAACATATATATACAGGGTTACTCACAAAATATGAGACTACAGAGACTACTTTACGGAATTTATAATGTCTGTTTATTTATATTCATAATTTCTGGCAGCTACTATAATTGATTCTTTCTTTTCCAACTCGTCAAATAAGCCATTAATGGACTAGATTCAAGGCAGTAGATTTATTTAAATTCAGAAATCATCATATTTAAAGAGTTTCAGTTCGTCTTTATAATATTATCCTTTGTGAGTCATGGAAACCCTGTATATATATAAATGAGCGAAGAGCTTTATTATTTAGATACTCTCTGAATTCATCTTTTTCAGGTCGTTCCTACCAGGCTCCGTTAGGGGGTACTCCGACATAAAATGCTTTCAGAGTGATTGAACTAGACAAAAATTAAATTTATCAAATTGTTCAATGTTCATTGAAAGGGGTGTATATTTTCTTGAAAAATCATTTTTGGGTACAAAGTATGGAAAAGGTAAAAACTTGGTTTTGGGTGTCCCCCAACCCTTTTGATCATAGTTCAAGGAGGTGCTTTCCTTAATGTTATCCACTTAATAATGATCTGATCATGCACAATCACGTTAAACAATCTGTTTGTATGCCAGTATTTCACCATAATTTTTTTTATTAAGAATATTTTCCAGATAAATAAATAAAGATGGAGGATGTTGATGATGTTCTAAGTTATCTGAAGCTGGATCCTGATCATCATGAAAAGATTGCTGCTCTCATTCCTAAAGTATGTTTTCCACGGTTATTTCAATTACGTTTTGTAAAGGGGAAACATGAAGTTAACGTTATCAATTCCGGTCGATTTCCGACAATTTGGGTTAACATTAAGTTTTTGTGGTAAAGAAAATCATAATCTTAGGGTGAAACTTTTGTATTGGTTATCACGGAATAATAGTATGGCACTGATCCGTATATTTTGTGCTCTAATAAGTGTAGTCCTTATGGAATCTTATCTGAAGGTTCTTTGAACTTCTGTAAATGACTAAAATAGTTGCCCCCTGTTCTTAAATTTAAGATTTGACTTAAAAACAGCAATTTGTTAAAGTTCTTAATTTTTTCAAATGTTCATTATAAAAATTTCACTATTTTTATTTCGACATTTTTATCATAAGTTCTGTAAATAATATAGTAAAAGAAAAAATTCTTGTTTTTGTACCTCATCAGATAGTTCCTCTTACATTTTATTCAAAGTTCTGATTTCAATCCTCATACCTCCTTCTGTATATTGATTTCAATCTTCATACCTCCTTCTGTTTATATGTTTCTTTTTACACTTTAGTTTATCAGGTTCAGTGGATAGATGAGAATTCAATTTTGTAAATAATAAAACTGGGGTTTTTGAAACATTTTTTTGACCCCAGCCAGAAAAAGGGATGTCTAATTATTAACATATGTCAGAAAAAGTGAAATTTACTTATTAAGATTGATTTCAGTTCATTAATTTAGGATAAATATAAATGAATTCAAATTTTTAAGTCACCTCATTTTTTAAAAATAAAATATTTTGTTATATCATAATTAGACGTTTAAACTATCTGTATTGTACTGTATACAATAGTTCCATGTTTACTGTTTAGATCAGGACAGTGTGAAATACAATATATGTTGAACTTTTTTTGGATTTTTAAAGTTGTTGCTTTATTGACATTTTTTAACATATTTTAAGATTCATTGATTCTCTATTAGATGTTTAACTTTCAAAGTAACTATTCAAATTTTATTTGTGCTGCTTAAGAGGATTTAAAAAAAGAATAAATATTTTCATATTCTTCCAATTTTTGTGGGATTTCAAAAAATGTTCTTAAAAATAAAAAAAAAAATTCCCGATTTCAAAGATATGTTCATAAAAATCTTAATGTTGGAAATTTGTTCTTAATTTTGTTCTTGATTTTCGGCCAAATTTTCTTAACTTGCACTATGCACTGAAATCTTTCGATTGGGGTTCACAAGTTCAGGCGTTTCAGATTAAAATTACCTCATATAAAAGTTTTGACGTATTGATATTTAGGAAACCTGGTATGAGCAGTTAATAAGATACGGACTCTATATTGGTGCTGTCTTCCAGCTTGTTTGTATTTTGGTGATTATTTATTTATTTGAATAAGGAAAATTTAAATCGATTTACTAAAATATTGTTTTAGGCTGTTATTCTGCTGCCATCGTCAGAGAAAGAGAAGGAAGTGGAAGGTTCATTTTTTATTGATTTACAAGTTTGAAAAATTTAATATAATTTTCTAGCCTTTGCTACCCGCAGGGTACCCATGGGCTCTCTCAAAAAAAGCTTTATTATAACTGGATTGATTTGTTAATATTTAATTATTTAATTGTTCATGATTGATTGTGTGATTTATTAATAATTGATGTTTGATAGTTTTTAGCATGATTTGTTTATTGATTAAATATTGATTAAATATTTGACTGATTTAAGGAACTGTTGTGAAGGTAAAATGAAAGGGGGTATAGGCTGAAACTTTAACACTTGAGGACTTGATCGCGACCATTGAAAGTTCTATCTGATGTTCCTGTCTCGAGAAATTGATATAAAACTGTGTAAAATTTATACGAAAATCAATATTTATAAAATTTTTAAAATCTAAGACTTAAATCACATGACCAGAACTCCCACCAATGGCAGTGCAGTTACGCAGTATACTGGTCATGTGTCTCCGTCTGTATCATGTTACCAGTATACTGCATTGCATTTGGTGGGAGTTCTGGTGACGTAATACGGACGTATAAATAATATCAAGTATATCTATTGATAAATAAAAATAAAAATTTTAAGACTCTAATTGGAGCAAACCTAAGTTACAATTAGGCTTCTCTGGGATATCGTCGTTTTCAGATTGGTTGCTTATTTGCTGAATATGATCTGTTCAAACCTACTACTTTTATACCAAATTGTATATTTATGCTTTCGTAAAAATTTTACACAGTTTTATTTCAATTTCTCGAGACAGGAGCATAAAATAGAACTAAGTCCTAAGTGTTTAGGCCTAAACCCCTTTACATTTTTCCTTTACAGTCCCTTTAAATGTTTGATGGTTTAAATGTTTGATAGTTTAAATGTTCAATAGATTAAAAGTTTGATGGTTTAAATGTTTGATAGTTTAAATTTTCAATAGATTAAATGTTTGATTGTTTAATGTTAAATTGATTAAATGTTTGATTCATTTAATGTTCAAAACATTGCATAGATTAAATGTTTAATTAAATGAACGAATGATTAATGAATTTTTTGTTAGTTTGATTGATTAAATGTGTTTGATGGATTAAATGTAAAGTTGATTCAACGAATGATTGATTAAGTTTGATTTATGTTTTATTAATTGAATGTTTGATTTATTGAATTTTTGATTTATTTAGTTTTTGATAGAAAGAATGTTTGATTGCTTGAATTTTTGAGTGATCTGTTGTTTTTATAGAATGTTTGATTGATTTGATTGAACAGTTGATTTGATTGGATGATTTTTGATTAATCAGATGATGACAAGAGTCGTGCCTCCTCCCCCACCAGTCAGTCGGGTCGTACCAAGCAGAAAAAGAAAACCAAGAAAAAACTTGCCTAGAAAATTTTCATATGTTTTTTTGTGTATGATGTTGATTAATACTCAATGTTATTTCTATTTGCTAAAAATTGTATAGTACACATTCCATATACCATGAATCTCGCATTTTAATTGTATTCAACGTTTCGAGAATCGTTAAAAAAAAAATATTCTTATAACAACTTACAAAGGAAGCTGCATTTCAACACTGTATTTTTTTAATTTTCCTCGATAAAAAGTTTTCAAAATATGTGCCATATTAATATTATTGAATTGATACATCAGTAACTAGAAAACATTAGAATGATCAGACTCTTCTTGTTTCATTATTGAATTATTAATCATTTTAAGTAAGTAAATCTTTAACAAATTACAAAATTCTTTGTGACATAAATTTAAAAGAAAAAAAGAAGCTAGAAAAGGAAGATAGAAGATTAATCATTTGTCATACTAGTGACTGTTCCTTACTAATTGCTTAGGATCCATTTAATTTTGATGCGGATTCGGATCCGGATCCTGGATCTGCACTGGAAAAAAATGGATCCGGATCCAGAACCTGGTCATTTCTTTAAGATTTGCTGATTTTTTAACAAAAAATAATTTTCAAGTTTTTTGTTTTATTTTTTTTCGCTTATTTTTTTATCTTAAAACTTGATGAACCATTCAGAAATGAGGAAATTTTTTATATTTTTTTTTTTCATAAGTTCAGATTTGGGGGTTTAGGAGTAAAAAAGGTTTTTGCAGTTTTTGGTTGAAATTTTACCCCTTAGATCCGGGGTTTTTAAAGTGAACGCTTTCAAAAGCACGCCATATGAATCACCGTAATACAAATTTTCCCGAAGTTTATGGATCCACATATTTTTGCGGATCCGGATCCAGGAAGCCAAAATCTTGCGGATCCAACGGATCTGTATCCGGATTCTAACCATTGCAGTTATAATATATAATGTATTATGAAATTATGGTGATTAAAAAACATTTCCATGACACATGATTATGAATGCAAAAGGACTGTTCCCTAAATTGTCATGATTATGTTAAATGACCTTTTAGGCTTTTACTCTGAATATCTATTTAAGTTATTGTTTAAGTTGGATGGTGATATTAAGAATACTCTTTAAAGTAAAACTATCATGAATAATATGTATTTGCAGATAATGGAAAGATAATGACTTGTCTAATATGATCTGAAAATAAGTTTGTGAGGTTAGAAAATCAACTGTTAAAAATGGCGGGTGTAGAATATCAGCTGATCTTCTCAGCTCTCTGCTTGATATCCCAGGTACTGATGGATATAGGACAAAATAATTGTATGCTCTGAAGGAGGATTAGAGGGGGGGGGGAGAAATGAAATAAATTGCAAGAATTTTTTAGATTTCTTACAAAGTTTCCAATAATTATTTACTTGAAATATAATGCAATAATTCAAGTGTTTACAGTTTACTCATCATTAAAATACGTAATTGTGTTCTAGTTATCTGGTGAAATCAGGACGGGAAAAGACTCCCCTCTCTCTCTCCGGGTTCTACAGGATACAGGGAACGAAACTAGTCAAAAGAAGGTTATCAGGCTTACAGAAGGTAGAGTCAGGATTCGAGTTTTATAGAAAATGTTAAACATAATTATTTACCGATGATAAGTATAAGGATTTACTCCGGCTGATACCAATATTACTTGTTAATTCCAAATAATCCCATTTNACTTGTGATTTAATATAATTAACTTCAACGTTAATCTCTGAGTCTGTCGAACCTGTTTATTTTTATCTGTTAAGGGCACATGTTGAATCTAACCTGTATTGCCGAGGGAGGCCGGAATGTTGGTTTGGTTTGGTATGTTCCAAGCTCTATAGCCATGTCTCAACACAGGTAATTCAATATAAGAAATAGCAGTTGTGATTTAGGTTTTGAGAGCAGCAATTTTCTTTTTACTGTTCAACTTTGAATGTTCATCCTACAAATCCTAATCCTTAGTGCTGATTAGAGGATATGTTACGGGAAAATATGCTTGGTAGTAGTTCAAATAATAATAATATTTTGTATAATAATCACGTTTCATATTGTCTCCCGATGTTTTTCATAAAACTTCCTATTACTAGGTTGAAAGAGAGAGTGAAAGAGGAGAACAAGAAAAATCTAGTAATCTCTCCAATATCTGAGGTAGAAACTTATCATTAAACCGGTTGCAAAATTGAAACTTTCAAAACTGGATTTTGTTTACGTTCTTTTACCATTGGGTATAGTTCTCCGATATTTTAAAAATCATAGAGTTAATTTCATAAAGCGGGTAAAATACCACAAGAGTTTTTGCAATAGTAAATTTATCAAGAAACCATAGGATGGATACTTGCAACTTCAAGCAGATTTTTAGAAATTTGGAATTTCGGAAATTAATTTTATTCTTGTCAACAAATAATCTAATTCTTCTGCAGGTTGACTCAGGGAACTATAAGTGTGAGGCTATTGGAACCCAAGGGGAGCATGTCTGGGTAGGTTGGGAGTTTTTATTTTTTTTTTATCGCCGGAGATTTGTTATGCTCAAGTTTATCTTGGCATAATGTGTTAGACTACAAAATTATGGTTTAAGTTACGTGAATAGTTGGAATACATGATGATTTATCCCCAGGACTCCAGGAGAAATGACTAACTACACATTTGAGATGATTTCAGCTGTAAATGCGCAAATTATAATTATAATTTGTGCTCATGCTTTTTCTCATCTTAGAAATTTATTTATGAAGTAAAGACGTTAGAGAAATTTTTAAATAAGAAAAAGGAGAAGTTGCATTTTTAGTTTTGATATGAGTCAAGTAAGTCGTACAGAGTGAACTACAGTGTACACTGTACATTAATATATATCTTTAGGAGGTACAGTGTACACTGTACAGAGTACGTGTAAATTGTTGAGAGCTTGTAATTCCCTATTACAGTTCTTACTTTTTAAATTCATTTTGGGATTTGAGTGTGGTAATAGGGCGGCCCTATAAGTCAGATTTGACTTGATGTTTGTATGTTCAGAAGAGTGTACGTGTATATGTTAAGGAGAGTGTACAGTTTACACTGTTCATGTATATGTTAAGGAGAGTGTATGTGTATGTGTTTGTTAGAGTGCACACTGTACATGTATATGTTTAGGAGAGTGCACTTGTATATGTTCAGGAGAGTGTACACTGTACAGTGTACATGTAAATGTTAAGAAGAGTGTATGTGTATATGTTTAGGAGAGTGAACACTGTACATGTATATGTTAAGGAGAATGTACGTGTATATGTTCAGGAGAGTGTACACTGTACATGTAAATGTTAAGAAGAGTGTTTGTGTATATGTTTAGGAGAGTGAACACTGTACATGTATATGTTAAGGAGAGTGTACGTGTATATGTTCAGGAGAGTGTACACTGTACGTATATATGTTCAGAAGAGTGTATGTGTATATGTTAAGGAGAGTGTACACTGTACATGTATGTATTAAGTAGAGCGTACGTGTATTTGTTTAGGATAGTGAAAACTGTACATGTATATGTTAAGAAGAGTGTACATTGTACATGTATATGTTAAGAAGAGTGTACGTGTATATGTTTAGGAGAGTGTTCACTGAACATGTATATGTTAAGGAGAGTGTACGTGTTTATGTTTAGGAGAGTGTTCACTGAACATGTATATGTTAAGAAGAGTGTACACTGTACATGTAAATGCTAAGAAGAGTGTACCTGTATATGTTTTGGAGAGTGTACAGTGTACATGTATATGTTAAGGAGAGTGTACGTGTATATGTTCAGGAGAATGTTCACTGTACAATGTACATGTATATGTTAAGGAGAGTGTACGTGTATATGTTTAGGAGAGTGTACAGTGTATATTTATATGTTCAGAAGAGTGTACGTGTATATGTTTAGGAGAGTGTTCACTGAACATGTATATGTTAAGGGGAGTGTACGTGTATATGTTTAGGAGAGTGTTCACTGAACATGTATATGCTAAGGAGAGTTTACGTGTATATGTTTAGGAGAGTGTTCATGTATATGTTAAGGAGAGTGTATGTGTATATGTTCAGGAGAATGTACACTGTACATATATATGTTAAGGAGAGTGTACGTGTATATGTTCAGGAGAATGTACACTGTACATGTATAGTATATGTTAAGGAGAGTGTACGTGTATATGTGGAACCTGATTGGGGAGATTGTAAACCTGGATTCTACAATTGTAACAATACTAACAATTATTGCATACCTAAAAGGTAATTAACTTAGTTAATTATTTTCTAACATTTTATAAAAATCGAGCGCAGAAGCTGCTTAGTGCTTAACCAAATTGGGCTGATTTTCAATGCTTATGACGAGAACTTTAAGTACTGTGATTTAAGTCATCTTATTATGAATCGTAGTATTATCTGAATGGGGAATCACTCTTAAAATTTAAACTGTACCTGGTCAGACATGCCTCAAATACATTGAACAAAAAATGAAAATATATTATCTCCAGTTTCCTTCAGATTTAATGGGAACTTAGAAAATTTCAATGAAAATTTATGTTTTTTTCACTTTCAGCATGTTAGTTATAATGTGAAAATTAAAGTTATAGTTTTAAGGTTAATTGATTGGTTGATTGATTGAATATTCCAGATATCGATGTGATGGAAGAGCAGACTGTCCTAACGGTGACGATGAGTCTGAGTTCCCTTGTGGAATAGATCCTTGTAAAGGGAAGATTTCCTGCCCTGAACTAGATTTCAGGTTAGATTTCCTATCCTGATCTAGCTTTTAGGTTAGATTTCCTATCCTGATCTAGCTTTTAGGATAGATTTCCTATCCTGATCTAGCTTTTGGGTTAGCCTCTCCTAAGCTAGATTACCTTCCCTGAGCTAGATTTCAGGTTAGCTTTCCAATACTTGGTTAAATTTCCATCCCTAAGCTAGATTTCAGGTTAGATTTTCTATCCTAAGCTAGATAATCTTCGCTGAGCTTGATTTCAGTTTAGATTTCCTATCCTGATCTAGCTTTTAGGTTAGCCTCTCCTAAGCTAGATTACCATTCCTGAGCTAGATTTCAGGCTAGCTTTCCAATACTTGGTTGAATTTCCAGCCCTGAGCTAGATTTCAGGTTAGATTTCCTCTTCTAAGCTAGATTTCAGGTTAGATTTTCTATCCTAAGCTAGATTACCTGCCCTGAGCTAGATTTCAGGTAAGATTTCCTCTTCTAAGCTAGATTTCAGGTTAGATTTTCTATCTTAAGCTAGATTACCTGCCATGAGCTAGATTTCAGGTTAGATTTCCTCTTCTAAGCTAGATTTCAGGTTTGATTTTCTATCCTAAGCTAGATTACCTGCCCTGAGCTAGATTTCAGGTTAGATTTCCTCTTTTAAGCTAGATTTCAGGTTAGATTTTCTATCCTAAGCTAGATTACCTGCCCTGAGCTAGATTTCAGGTTAGATTTCCTCTTCTAAGCTAGATTTCAGGTTAGATTTTCTATCCTAAGCTTGATTACCTGCCCTAAGCTAGATGCGGGGTTAGATTTCCTATCCTGAGCTAGATTTCAGGTTAGATTTTCTATCCTAGGCTAGATTACCTGCCCTGAGCTAGATTTCAGGTTAGATTTCCTATCCTAAGCTAGATTTCCTGCCCTGATCTAGATTTCCGGTTAGATTTCCTATCCTGAGCGAGATTTCAGGTTACATTTCCTATCGCCCAAGTACGATTTCATGTCCTAAAATAGATTTCAAGTTAGCTTACTTATTTAAAGAAATATTTACAAAACACGACTTTATTGTCAGTTTTTTTTAACAATTCTCAAAGCATTAGAGAATGGTGTGTTTGTTTACTTTTCACATCGTAGAAATCACTTCTGGTTTAGCTTTCTGGTATAGCTTTCTGGTATAGCTTTCTGTTATGGTTTTCTGGTATAGTTTTCTGGTATAGTTTTCTGTTATAGTTTTCTGGTATGGTTTTCTGGTACAGTTTTCTGGTATTGTTTTTGGTATAGTTTTCCGGTATGGTTTTCTGGTATGGTTTTCTGGTATAATTTTCTGGTATGGTTTTCTGGTATAGTTTTCTGGTGTGGTTTTCTGGTATTGTTTTCTGAGCCCGCGATTTAAAAAATTCTGGAAAATACGGCTCAGGTCTAAGTTGTCGTTAGGCCTTATTTACGGCTTGAGATTTTGGGTTCAAGTTGCTTCTTATTTTCAACAGAGTTGAGTTTAAAAAACCGGTTTAATATTCTATTTGGCGAATTTTCATGGTAGGAATTGGCCCATTAGGACTCCCTAACCTCATGAATTGATTTTATTTGAATTTGATTTGATTTGATAAAGGTGTATTGATCCTAGTGAGTACTGCTGTGATCCTGAAACTGATTATGATTGCAAGGTAAAAAACGCAGATATTTATACATAATTTTTTTAAGATTTTAATTTCAACAAAATTCGAGATTATATCAGCCGCAAGTATTTTTGACATTTCCGTATTTCAAAATCTCCATTTTCTTCTTGTTAATTTTAATAAAGAAAAGAATTTTTTTTGTGACATCCATGCAATTGCTGTCGAGTTTTTTTTGCAAGTTTTATAACCTCTTCAGAAAAGCTTCTCAGTTCTCAATAGTCCCTAAAAAAAATTACACCTGCGGCGCGTTTTTTTTCTCTTAAGTCTGAATTTTTTTGTTCCGAAATAAATCTATAATTCTTTGAGCTCTTCTTACCTCCTGTTTTAGTTTTGTATTTTATAATATATAATTCAGGTGCTGTACAGCTGATGTAATCCAAATTTTTAATTCAGATGCTGTACAGCTGTTGAAATCCCTATCTATAATTCAGATGCCGTACAGCTGATGTATTCCAAATTTTTAATTCAGGTGCTGTACAGCTGTTGTAATCCCTATCTTTAATTCAGGTGCTGTACAGCTGTTGTAATCCCTATCTTTAATTCAGGTGCTGTACAGCTGTTGTAATCCCTCTCTATAATTTCGGTGCTGTACAGCTATTGTAATTACAATCTTTAATTCAGGTGTTGTACAGCTGTTGTAATCCCAATCATTAATTCAGGTGCTGTACAGCTGATGTAATCCCAATCATTAATTCAAGTGCTGTACAGCTGTTGTAATCCCAATCTTTATTTCAGGTGCTGTACACTGTACAGCTGTTGTTATCCCAATCGTTAATTTAGGTGCTGTACAGCTGTTGTAATCCCAATCTTTAATTCAGGTGCTGTACAGTTGTTGTAAGGCTGTACTTGATTATAACAGCAGAACTAAGCATAAGCAGCCGGAGCTGCAAGATCATATTTCAGGATATGATAAGATTTTTTACACAGCTATAGGTAAAAACTAAAAATACATCGAGTTACTGTAATCTCAGGATTAAACTTACGCTGTTAAAATTAAGTATTATCTTAAAAAAAAGACAATTCAAAGATATTGATTTATTTTCGAAGGTATTCCATGAACGCTAAAGAAAAATTTAAGTTTATAGACATTCGATGGATTAAGGAACAAATGATTTATTAATTAAGTATTAAAGGGACTGTAAAGAAAAATTAAAGGGCGTATAGGATGAAACCTGAGAGTCTCAGGTTTTGAACGATACCTATAAGACATCTATCTTATGTTCCTGTCTCGAGAAATTGACAAAAAACTGTGTCAAATTATACTAAAACGGGCATATGCCAGATTTTGTATAAAAGTTGTAGTATTAAACAGATCATAGTCAATAATTATGCACCCAATCTGAAAATTTTGACACAGTTTTATGTCAATTTCTCGAGACTTGAACATAAGATAGATGTCTTATAGGTATCCTGAGACTCTCAGGTTTCATCCTATACCCCCATTTCATTTTTCCTTTTCAGTCCCTATAAAATAAAAAAGTTTGGGGTAACATTTATTTTCCTGTCAGTCAGTTGGTGGTATTTTCAATTCTTTAATTTCCACAAACTCTTAGAAGATTATTATTTCAACTATCCGGTAAATCTAGCTGTTATCTTTTTAGGTTACTGTCTGGTATTTCTGTTTGTTATCTGTTTAGATTGCTATCTGGTATATCTAGTTGTTATTTGTTTAGGTTGTTGTCTGGTATTTTTAGCTGTTATCTGTTTTGTCTATGGCTGGTTGAGATATCATAATAGTAGAGCGGGAAGACAAAATCAGAGACAACGACAACCTCTAACCCTTCACGACCTAGGTAATTGTGGATTAATAACGTACACCCTGTACAGTGTACACTTACTCCCTGTACACTCACACTTTGCACACTCACACTCTGTACATTTACACCCTGTACACTTACACCCTGTACACTCACACCCTGTACACTCACACTCTAAACACTTACACTCTGTACACTTACACTCTGAATACTTACACTCTGTCCACTTACACTCTGTACACTTAAACTCTAAACACTTACACTCTGTCCACTTAAACTTTGTATACACTTACACTCTGAACACTTACACTCTGTACACTTACACTCTAAACACTTACACTCTGTACACTTACACTCTGTACACTTACACTCTGTACACTTACACTCTGAACACTTACATTCTGTACACTTACACTCTAAACACTTACACTCTGTACACTTGCACTCTTTACACTTACACTCTGAACTCTTACATTCTGTACACTTAGACTCTGTACCCTCACACTCTGTACACCAACACTCTGTACACTTAGACTCTGTACCCTCACACTCTGTACACTAACACTCTGTACACTTAGACTCTGTACCCTCACACTCTGTACACTCACAATATGTCCTCTTTTACTCTGTCCTCTTGCACAAATTGTATACGTTTCATGTCCATAAGAAAAGGTTATAGAAAAGAAACACTTAATGGAATAAAGTTCATCAAATATTTTATTTCGTCACTTCGTTCCTAAACAGAGTTAAATAAGTTTTTTAAAAAAATATTTATCAGATTGTAAAATATATTTTACATTTTAAACCTATATAAGACGGTGTATACTTTTACTAAGAAGATTGTACACAGGTACAGTTATTACTTCTATTATTAATTTATTAGATTTGATGTACGGTGGTCCAGAGCAGTACAACGGTACTGATCGGAACCTTAGTATTACGTTTAATATTAATCATGGTGTACAGATTATGCGTCCTCCACCATACAGCAATAGGTAATCTTATTCATGCTTTATGCAACAACCACGTCAAAAATAGTTGATCAAAACCTTGACTTCTATAGAAAAAACGAGTCTCGAACAATTATAAAAAAATGGTCTTGCGTATTCTTCTAATCTTCAGATTTTATACTCAAAGCTTAATTATTTCAAAGTTATGGGATGATTTTCCTTTTTTCAAGGTTGAATATTTAAAGTAGGGTAACAAATATTTTTATTCCCGACAGGGCAAAAATATCTTCATTTTTTATGCATACACAAACAAAAATTTCAACGCTTTTTACAGCATGAAACAATAACAAAAAAAGTCGCGGATTTTCAAATATTTTTCGCCCATTTTTAAAATTTTAAAAAATATCAAAAGCTTTTTGTACACCTTATTGTAATTCTGAGCATCCATAAACCTTCCCTGAGGTCATGCAGGGTCCAATTCAAAATTTGGGCCAGATCAGTTCAACCATTTTGACGTTTTTTGTTTACAAATAGACAGACAGACAAGTAAAGTATATACATAGAAGATTAGTTGGCTGCTTCTATGTTGGATCATAACTCATGAACCCTTTTCACCACCATGCCTAACATTTTTATTGGGTACCTCGTTAAAAACACAGAAATGTTCTTGGCTTGATTAAATCTCGGCAAAGCTGGGTTCCCAAGCTAGAAATATATATATTGTTGAATGTTGTATAAATCTAGGAGTGGAACCCCTGGGCCCCCTCCCCCCTACATGTCCCAGGAGAACGTGCAGGACCCCCTCCTGGAGGAGTCCAACAACAACGGAGATATCAACGGCAACAGCAACCTCATGGACAACAACAATCCCAACAGAAATATTCCAGACAACACCAGGGAGGAGAATATTAAAGTTGTGAGTTCATGGGGTTTTAAAAATGGCGAATAAAATTCGTATCAAACTAATACTTATTAATTTGATCTACTGAAAATCTAAATTAAAGTCCAGTGGGTAAAAAATCCTTTATTAGGATTCTGAAAAGAAAATTAATTGTGTTTTAATTTCTGATGTTTCCGATAACCCACAAAATAAAATCAGTATTTTGAAAATAGGTCTATCTTAAATATAAATTTCAGATGAATATTTGACCTCGTATTCCAGAAATCGAAATTTGCCGGAAGCTGACCAGCTCGTAGAAGCAGCTCCCTCCCTCCCGGACCCAACCCTCGTCGTTCCGCCTTCGTACGCTACTAGTACTACTACTTCCCCTACCTATACTCAGGAGGAAGCCGCCGCCTACCCGCCGCCTCCTTACCCGGGACTAGACCGGACTAGATACTCAGATACATCCACGGAAACAGAAACAGAATAGAATAATTTCGATGTTTTTTTTCTGTCACTTTTTTTTATTGGATGATGGGTTGTCTGCTAATTATAATAATATTAAGTTTTCTCTTGCTGAATATTATGTACATATTGCACAAACATTAGAATTTACATGTACGTATTGTACTTACAATTTACATATTGTTAGACATCACTGTCTACATTGTATAAAGATTATAACAGCCAAAAATTACGATTTGATTCATATTTATTTCTTGATGAATTAGAATACAAAGGAATAACAATTTAGTCGTAGTATTGCTTGCTGTCACACAAAATATAAAATTTAATAATCTAAATTTAAAAACGGAAGAAGAAAAAACTTTGGTCGTATATAAACTTTGTGATTAGTTTACATTGAGATTTAATGTGCCAAATATGAGAACCGGTAAATGTCTAGTTGAAAGTTCATTAAACATAAATTTTAAATAAGTCAAAAACCTTAAAAGAAATTTAACTAAAAATATATATTTTTGGTGATCTAGTATATTTCAATCAAATTTCACTCGATGAGTCCCTTTCTAGCCTTCTCTAGTTTAGACTTATATCCTTAAAATATGAAGTTCAAGAAGTAGATCTATATTAATTAATATATTAATTAATGTCAATTAATCGAAGTTATAAAATTTTGTTGTTTTCTGCCCATTTTCTGAAAGTTAACTTCCAAATTTGTTTCTATATGATAAAAAGAAATTCTAGTTCTATCATAGATAAAAAAATATATGGGCATTTGTGTTATTTCAGAAAATGGAAGACGACTTTCAGCCACTAGAGCCAACCCTTCAGAACATTCTAGATGCTAAGTCATTAAGGTGAGAGATTTTAATACCCGCTCTCTTGGAATGAAATATTCTGTGGCTTTTGGTATCAATCAAAGGATATAATTATATTCTCTCCTCTCTCCCTTAATAAATAATTTTTAGTCGTTAAATTAAAGTTAAAGGTTTTAGGATTTCGTCTCCCTAACACCGGGATAATCCTGATGTTTCTATCTGAATTCATTTTTAGTGAAATGGGGGAAAATGAAAAATTCATTCTTAAGACACTTTACACCAAAGAATTCATTAATTTTCCCCTAAAAATATTTTTTTCTCAATTCAGCGAATACAACACCCTAAAAAAAGCATGTATAACTTTATTTAAGAGGGAAATTATTTTCAAACGGCGGTGGGTGGGGGGGGGGGTGGGGAGAAAACTTACACCCCTGGAATAATGTCATTTTTTTCTTGCTAACTGCATGACGTTTTCTTAGTACATTTCATAGAATAAAATCAATCGTAAAAGTTTTGGCGGATTTGTCTGTTATACAGTGTGAATTGATTAGATGGGTGTTTGTTGGTGGTAAGGGGGGAGTAGGAAAGACGACCTCTAGTTGTAGTCTGGCTGTTCAACTCTCAAAGGTAAAATAATTGTTATTATAATAAGTTTTTTCAGAGAAGACATTTTTTATTTTTTTTTATATTAATTTAAAATTATTTTAAAGAACTTTTTTCTATTTTTTTGTATTTTCATTGGTTTACATATGATTTATTGAACCAACGTCCAGTTGTACTAAACTGAAGAAGTTGTATACATACCCAAAAAAGTGTATTTGGGCTAAAACCTTATAAAGTGGGGAAATCCCTTTTTATAGTTTAAATGAACAAATAAAATTCATTCGAACTAAAGTTAAGATTTTCATCATATTGCCACAATTTCCAAAACGAACAAATTTTAGAACAAATGAGCGAAAAATGTTCAATTGAACTAAAGTATTTTCATAATTTTGCCACAATTTCCAAATGAGTTCAAACGAAAAAATTTTCTGTCGAAAATGTTGATTAGATTAAAATTTTCAAGAAAATATTTATTCTATGACTCCCCAATAACATAAGTGTTACCAGGTAACCACCCCTCCCTGCAACCCAGAACAATTTTTTGTGAAAAATGTTCATTAGAACTAACGTTCAATAACACTTAAATGTCCAAGAACATTTTTAGTCCATTTGAACAAATTTTATGTGGAAAATGTTCATTAGGACGCGTTCAATAGCAATAAAATTTCCAAGAAAATATTTAGTCCATTTGAACAACTTTTATGTGGAAAATGTTCATTTTAGGACTAACGTTCAATAGCTCTAAAATATCCAGGAAAATATTTAGTCCATTTGAACAATTTTTTGTTGAAAATGTTCACTTTAAATAATGTTCAAATGCCATAAAATAGCACAAAGATTAATTGCACCAATGATAAATTGCATTAAAAATTGGCGGGAAAAAGAAATGATTAGTTAAATTGAGCATGTTGAGTGTCGATTTTGTTCATATGGAATAATGCTCAAATGGAATACAACCCGGTTTGTGAACTATCTTTAGTGCAATTGTACGATAGTTCAATCGACATTTAGTTCTATCGATATAGCATCAAATCTTTTAGGTCCGAGAAACAGTTTTAATTATCTCCACCGACCCTGCTCACAATATCTCAGATGCATTTAGCCAGAAATTTACTAAGGAATAACTTGAAAAATGACAAGAAAATATTTAATATCAGCTGCCCGACGTTGCCCGTAGAATTATAAAAATTGAATTTTGAAGAAAAAACGAGTTTGGAAAAAAAATCGAATTTTTTTTAGCATATGCTACCCCCTGGGATACCCATGGATATCCTCAAAAAATGTCAGTCAATTTGGTCCAGCTACAGCTAACATATAAATATATATTGTTCCAAGACAATGGTCTAAAGAGAATTGGCCAAGCACAAATGGACGGTCACTTGAAATTACGTCTTTAAAATCTTAAACTAAGCATGAACTTTAAACTGATTACAAGTTTGAAACTAGGTGCCGACAAAAGTCAATGGTTTTGAGAATCTATTTGCAATGGAGGTAATCACTCATTTCAATGAGATTTTGGTATTTTTAATCAAAATTTAAAACTCAAAATAATGTTTAATAGATAGGGTATCTTAATAAACAGGAATTATTGACAAAAAATTTAGTTTGGTGGAGTGTTTCGTCTGTTTCTATTTATTCTGATATTTTTATTTTTTCCTGAAGTATAAATTAAATTGTTAAATTATCTAATCTTTATTCTTATACTCTAGCAAAGCAAATTTTTGTTTGTTTTAAAAATTAGGTAGTTCAAAGCTACTTATTTACCACAACGTTTTTGAAGTCATCTCTCAATTCCCATGTTTATTGGATACCCTGTACATTTAGTCAATATGCAGCCTTACATATATTTAATCTTATTTATTTATGTAATATTTTCCTAATTGATTAGATCCCTTTTTTATTTTCTCATTCCTATCAAGAACATACAAAATCGGAAATTTCCTGGACTTTTTTTATTCCGTCAATTTTAACTTTTTCCGAAATAATAAATAAAATTGATGAATTATCTATTTCTAAGGTTGACCCAAATATAGGGTTTGCTGAACTACCTGAGGAGTATTTTACAGGAGTTGGTGAAAGTGAGGCTTGGAAGAGTAGTAAAGGTGTTATCCAGGTAGTCATTTATAAATCAGTTTCCAGGTAGTCATTTATAAATCAGTTTTCAGGTAGTCATTAATAATTCAGTTTCCAGGTAGTCATTAATAAATCAGTTTCTAGGTAGTCATTAATAAATCAGTTTCCAGGTAGTCATTTATAAATCAGTTTCCAGGTAGTCATTTTTAAATCAGTTTTCAGGTAGTCATTAATAATTCAGTTTCCAGGTAGTCATTATAAATCAGTTTCCAGGTAGTCATTTATAAATCAGTTTCCAGGTAGTCATTTATAAATCAGTTTCCAGGTAGTCATTAATAATTCAGTTTCCAGGTAGTCATTAATAAATCAGTTTCTAGGTAGTCATTAATAAATCAGTGTCCAGGTAGTCATTTATAAATCAGTTTCCAGGTAGTCATTTATAAATCAGTGTCCAGGTAGTCATTTATATATCAGTTTCCAGGTAGTCATTTATAAATCAGTTTCCAGATAGTCATTTATAAATCAGTTTCCAGGTAGCCATTTATAAATCAGTTTCCAGATAGTCTTTTATAAATCAGTTTCCAGGTAGTCATTTATAAATCAGTTTCCAGGTAGTCATTTATAAATCAGTTTCCAGATAGTCATTTATAAATCAGTTTCCAGGTAGTCATTTATAAATCAGATTTCATGTAGTCATTTATAAATCAGTTTCCAGGTAGTCATTTATAAATCAGTTTCCAGATAGTCATTTATCAAACAGTTTCCAGGTAGTCATTGAGACTTCTGTCCTAATGATTTTGTAGACGCATCATAATTTATATTCCCCAATATAGCGATTAAACCCTTTCGAAAAATACTTAGCATTTGTAAACATCATTGAAAAGTATAAATATGAAAAGGAACTTTTGGGAGCCTTCCCTGGTATTGACGAGGCAATGAGCTACGCTGAAGTAATGAAGCTCGTGAAAAAAATGGATTTTTCAGTTGTCGTCTTCGATACAGCACCAACTGGGCATACACTAAGGTACAATTATATACACTGTATAAGGGGTCCTAATATGCACTACACCCGCCACTTTTTTAGGGTTGTCAGACACGGTACACCAGTATGTACACTGTATAGTGGGTTTTAACATGATGGAGTGGGGTGTTAACCCCTCTTTACACTATACCCGCCACTTTTTCAGGGTTGCTAGACACGGTACACCAGTATGTACAGTGTACACTGTAAAGTGAGTCCTAATATGATGGGGTGGGGTGTTAAACTATACCCGCCACTTATTTTTAGGGTTTCCAGACACGGTACACCAGTATGTACACTGTATAGTGGGTCCTAATATGATAGGGTGGGGTGTTAAACCCCTCTGTGCACTATACCCGCCACTTTTTCAGGGTTGCCAGATACGGTACACCAGTATGTACACTGTATAGTGGGTCCTAATATGATGGGGTGGGGTGTTAAACTATACCCGCCACTTTTTTTAGGGTTTCCAGACACTGTACACCAGTATGTACACTGTATAGTGGGTCCTAATATGATGGGGTGGGGTGTTAAACTATACCCGCCACTTTTTCAGGGTTGTCAGACATGGTACACCAGTAGAATAATTGTTGACCACTTTTTTTTTATATTTTAGACTTAGTTACCGATTTATTAACTGTTACATATTCATTTTTGAATTTTAATTTTACAAAATTCTGTAAATAATTTGATAATAGCAGCTGTAAATATTGTGAAATTTCTTGTTTTTCTTGATCCCCATTTTCTTCTTATTCGTGCAACTTCCATCATGTTCGGGATTTATTAACTATTACAAAATCCTCATTTTGAAAGGTACAGACCGGCTAGGTTGGTAGTTAAACTCATACTGCAATATTATTGATCAAATGTTAAGGATTGATACCAACAGATTTTTTTACGATGTCAGTATAATTGAGTAGAAGTGCAAATTTCACCAAGCAATAATCATGAGGACGAATATTCGTTCACATTAAAAGTCTTCTTTAAATCATTTAAAAACCTGGATGAAAAACATAAGTATAATTCTTTAAAAACTAATATTCTGTTTAGAAACTTATTTTCCTGAAGAATCGTTTATTTTTTACACTCATTATCTTGAACTCTTTGTCATCTGTTTATTAGCAGTTTCCTTTAAATTTAATCTTTGCAATTCAATGGAAACCTAAGCCACATTTTTAAACTGCACTCTCAGTTCATCTACCCTACCTAGCCGACCTGTCCCTTTAATCTACCTATATATCACGTTACCGACATGCCAACCTACCTGCCTATTTTTCTACATGCAGACCTAACTTTCTACCTACTCACTTACCTACCTACCTACTCACTTACCTACCTACCTACCTACATACCTACCTATCAATCTATCTACCTATCTACCTATCTACCTATCTACCTACCTACCTACCTACCTACCTACCTACCTACCTACCTACCTACCTACCTACCTACCTACCTACCTACCTACCTACCTACCCTAACATACGTCTACCCTAGGTTATTATCGTTCCCTGCAGTTGTTGAGAAAGGATTAGGGAAGCTGCTTAAGTTAAAGAATCAGATGGGACCAATGATATCCAACATGGCAAGGTATTAACTAGGGACCAATGATATTCAACAATGCAAGGCATTACCTAGGAACCAATTATATCCAACATGGCAAGGTATTAACTAGAGACCAATGATATCCAACATGGCAAGGTATTAACTAGAGACCAATGATATCCAACATGGCAAGGTATTAACTAGAGACCAGTAATATCCAACATGTCAAGGTATTAACTAAGGAACAATGATATCCAACATAGCAATGTATTAACTAGAGACCAGTGATATCCAATATGGCAAGGTATTAACTAGAGACCAATGACATCCAATATTGTCAGGTACGTATGTATGTACGCATTAATGCACCCTTAGTCGCTACGATTATTGGATACAAACAGACAGACCCCCATACAAGCAAAGTATATATTTATAGATTTAAACTTTAAGAATGTTTGGTGGTGCAGATGGCGGGTTTAACCCTGACATGTTGTCTGGTAGATTAGAGGAGATGCTGCCAGTTATTCAACAGGTTGATTTTTTTATATCAGTGTTACAATAATGATTCATGAAATTGCCCTAATTCCAAAAAGTGGTCTGCCTTCAAAAGCACATGATCTAATTCAAAAATTTAATTTTTTCGTTTTATTTAATATGATTAAATCTAAAAATATTCTTCTTATTTCTAGAAATTTATAACGCGCAAATAGGCAGACCACATTTCAGAAATGTTAGGATTGTTTTTTGCATAACCATACTTATAAAATTAGGTAAACGAGTGAAGGCATGAAGGCCGCAGAGACGATAATCGATTCGTCTCTTATTGTCAAGAAACTCCGCTTCTTTGTGAACATGTATATTGTATATGGTTGAAATCTTTGTTAACAATGATATACACAATTATCGTATTTTATTTATAATAGAAACGTTTAAAAAAACTATATTATTATTAAAACTAAATTAAATTGTTTAGGTAAACGCTCAATTCCGTGATCCCGCTGCAACTACATTTGTTTGTGTTTGTATTGCAGAGTTTCTCTCTTTGTATGAAACTGAGAGGTAAGTGCATTATGCAACAAGTTCGAGGATTAAATAGTTTTCTCAAGGGATGGGGTAGCTTTTTTCAGAGATTGAAAAAAATTTACAGGACAAAAACAATTAACAATTGTATAAATTACACGATTTTTCCTCAGAAAGATTAGAAATTTTAAGTTTTCATTCGGAATTTTTTTATGATTTTTAACCAACCGCAAATATTCCTTAACCAATTTAATTCAATTTTTGATTTATTTCCTCTGTTATGTTAATGTCGTGTCTCAATCATTTTAATTTCAAACACAAATATATTTATTAATTTTTGAACTTTTGTGTATCTCAACCGGTTGTGGGTTGATATGGGAGGTTGTATGCTTAGAGCTTACTCAACAGAACTAACAACTGTTAAATGAAAATTGGTGGATACAAAAAACCCGCTTTTTATAAAGGAATGTATCATTTACTCTCAGACAAATTAGAATCAATGGAAATTTTAAACCCCCAAGGGATTCAATGATAAACCCGAGGGCATAAACCAAGGGTTTATCATTGAATTTCCATTGATTCTAATTTGTCTGAGAGTAAATGATACATTGTTTAGGTTAATTCAAGAGCTTACGAAGACGGGAATAGACACGCATAATATAATAGGTGAAGAGTAATTATCATACAATAACCCGGAGAAACATTAATTGTTTGAAGATTTGAAACTCGTCTTTGCCTTATAAAAAGACTGCGGCATTCATTATAAGCAATATAATTTTAGCAAACAATAATCACAAAATAGCCATAGTCCTGCCATTTCCTAAATGTTACAGGCCATTTTTTGCGTTAACAAATTCCAGAGATATTAAGAATTTTGTTTTTTATTTCAATTTATTAAATAAAACCATGAAAATGTCTAATTCAGAACGAAATCATTAATATCTGTATTTTGAACTTGTGAATTGAACATGCCACTGTGCTAAAGCAGGGTCAATTGAAATAAGGGTGAAACTGATCCTATTGAGCCGTTTCTTGATGAAAATACTTAAATCCACCTTGTGCCAGTTCTAAAGCTTTTTTAAATACATTTTAAGAAGATTTGAGTACTTTTTTATTGTTTTAAACTCATTCAGATTTTTGCTTTTTTGTGTAAATCAAATTAATAATATAAACCAGAAAAAAAATCGTCAAAAAATCAAGATGGGTATCAAAATATCCGTCTTGAAACACTAAGTTTAGAAACGTTTAATTCGTAAAATTCGCAAAAATTAAGCAAACTCTTGATTTGGAAAGATTACATATAACAATTTTTGAAATATCGAAAAACAGTTCAAAACGAGTCTTTTGATACCCATTACCCTAATCAACATGTTTTAAAAAAATGCAATTCATAATACGTTATAAATTCTTGCTAGTGCAGAAAGGTTTTGACATTTTCGATGAAACATTTCACCCTTATTTGATATTACATCTACTATCTCTCTAGCAGTTACTATGCTGTATTATTGCAATGAATAGATTAATAACAATACAGATCAAACACTATTATAATTATTAACAATCAACCTACAGTCAAAGTACAACGACCTGTAGGTTGAAATACAATGAAGATAGGGTTGAGCTCCTCCACTTGCCCTGTTCTATATGGTATCTAGTAGTTCAGTCCTGCCTGAATTTTAAGGATTCACTGTGTATGCCAGGAAAGCATGGATACTAGGGGATAAATAAAAGGGATGCTTAAAGCACTGACAGAATGCGGTACAAACCTCCGCCTGGTTGAATAAGAGTTTTTTTTGTTTGTTTTTTGGTTTTAGCTTTAATCTTAATGACCAGGGAAAGGTGAGCAATCTAGTGTTCTATCTGTATTATTAATCTTTGTTCCAGTGAATCAACTGTTAATCCAAAAGCCCGGAGAGAAGCCCTGCTCTATGTGTGAGGCCAGGTGCAGGATTCAAGGCAAATATTTGGATCAGATAGCAGATCTTTACGAGGTTAGGATTAATTAAGATATTAATTAATCAATCTAGAATTTATTTTGTCATAATGAAGTAAATTTTGATTGATTGATTGACTGGTTAATTGATTGATTTTTGATTGATTGATTGATTGATTGACTGATTGATTGATAATAATTGATAAATGATAAATAATAAATGGTTGATTTTATGATGATTAATTGGTAGACTAAAATATACTGATGGATTGATTTTACAAGGATTGAGATTAGATAATGATGACTGATTGATTTTTCGGTCAAATAATATGTTACTTGTAGGTTGATCTGCAGAGGGCCTTTGGGTCCATTGTGCAGATATCTGTTTTGTCCTCACAAAACAGTATTAGCAGTCCTTACATCTCGAGCTTTAGCGTCTTAAACACTGATCCTTATTGCGCTTAGTTAATTTTAGTTGATCAAGTCTGTTCTTGAAGACTGGCCAGAGCTTGTTCTCTCTATAGTAAGGGGTCGTGTATTTCACGTACTTTGGGGGACGATATATTGGCCGCCAGATGTCTTATGCTAAATTCTTATCTGATAGATAATTTCTCCGTGCATTTGACGACCAATATATGAGACGTCAAGTTGTCGACCAATGTAGATTATGGAAGAAACGGCCTCTGGAGTCCTATATGTCTATAGGCAGGCTATTTCAAAGGTTGACAACTCTGTTAGAAAGAAGTTTTTCCCGATATGTGACCTTGAACGTAAGGCAACCAAGTTTTTACTGTAGGACGAGATTCTTGGGAGTCTGTTGTTCTACAGTTTTGAACCAAATATCTGATTGATTGATAGAGTATTACTAGTTGATTGATTAAATAATTATGAATATTGATCATTGATTGATTGATTAAATATTGATGATTGATTGAATTAAATATTGATGATTGATTGATTAAATGATGATGATTGAATGATTGCAGGATTTCCACGTGGTAAAGCTGCCCCTGCTGGAGAAGGAAGTGAGAGGAGTGGAAGCTGTCAAATCTTTCTCAGAAAATCTTCTTGTTCCATATGTTCCAAAATAAACCTCTTGTTCTCTACGTTCCGAAAAAAAACCTCTTGTTCCATGTTTATGTGCATACAGGCTGTTTAAAAGCTTGGTAGAAAAAAAACTTTAAATCGTCTCCATTGTATTCATATATATGACGTCGACTGTATTATTTTCAGGTTGTTTCTTTGTTCTTTATGAATTTTCCATTTTTTGTTTGCTAAAGGGTTTTAATACTTAATGAAGTATCTTGCACTGAAATTGTAAATTTGATATTTATTATATGATTTGAATAAAATATGAAATAATTACTTATTTTTCTTCGTGTTAGTTTCTTTTTTAAAGGGATTTTTGCAAGATAAATATTTTATCTAACTAATTTGCAAGATAAATATTTTATCTAACTAATTTGCAAGATAAATATTTTATCTAACTAATTTGCAAGATAAATATGTATACACATTTTGTTACTGTAGGTAAGTTTTTATGTTAAGAGTAAAGTGCGTAATCATCATAATTTCCAGCATAATGTACATTTTATATAAAAGCTGTTAACAACATAAATTTATAAAATCAATTCATAGACAGCAGGATGTTGAAGACACGTTAAATATTGGTATAAACCTTATTTAAAAACTAGTATCATTAATGAGAGGGTGCGAACTCGTAATGATTGCGCAAGTAATTGTCTAGATGGACCATATTTGATGCATATAAAAGAAAATGAACCAATATAGCCCAAGAAATATTTTATTCCTTGAAAAAAAATTTTAATTCTTAGATTTGTCCACAAATTTTTGCAAGTGAAATTGTACAATAATAGAGCAGACTCTTGGTTATATGATTAGCTACTACTTCACTTTCGATATACTATACATCCGACCTACTTACACCATGCAATTGTTGTATTCCTATACTGTTTTTTCATTCAAAATACCAATTAATTTTTTTTAATAATCACTTTCTTAAATTACAAAATTCAGATTTCTAACCATTTTTGAAGACCTGTTATGCATTTTTTATAGAATGTTGTGTGTACTTTTGCACATTTGAGGGGAGGGAAGGAGGATCTGTTGTTTTTGGTATTAATTCCCAAGTGACAATATCCCAATTGTTCATTTTCCCAAGTGGCAACTTCCGTTAGGTTAGGCTCGTTCAGGGCTGGGCACGTTCCGACTTTTTTTTAAATCGTTCTGTTCTAGAATGAGGGCCCTCTGCTAAATCGTTCCGTTCTCGTTCCTCTTTTTTTTATCGTTCCGTTTGGTTCTGAGTAGAAGAACGGTCTTCCCGTTCCGTTCCGTTCTTGGCGTTCTTAGTTAAAGAACGGTTGCATCCCTCTTGTTCTGTTCTTAATCAAGAACGTTTCCATCCCCCGTTCCGTTCTTAGTAATGATCAATTCCATCCAAGACAAAAGTTTCATAGAAAAGAGTTGGTTAAAAAGTAAAAAAATTACGATTTTTTAATAAAAAGTTCTTCACAGCCGTAAATAATACTTTAAATTATATGTTTAAATTTACAGTTAAAAGAATAAGCTTACATGATTTCTGGGCTGAGCAATGTATAATTTTGTGAGAGCGGGGGAGGGGCGGGAGTTCTAATATAGTTTTTTTCGAAACGATGGATCGTTCCAGTAGGAACGCGCCCAGCCCTAGGCTCGCTAGGCCTTCTGTGGCGCCACAAGCTGCGATGAGGCTGGGTGCTGCGTTAAGGGGAGTTGAGCGATACTCTCCCAAAGCCTTTGGGAGAGTAATAACATCGTTTTGGTTACAAGCTAAATGGTGTCACATGAAACAAGACAGTTGGCAAATTGTTTTGAATGTCTTCTTCCCTATACTATATCAGGTGTTAAAGACTTTTTGCAGTTTGATTACTTTAAACAAGTCCTTTATTCAAATATATTTTGCTTTGAAATCAATTTCAATATAACTTGACTGCCATATGACATATTTTTTTCTTTGGTATCAAAAAACTTAATAAATGTTGAACTAAAACTATATCACCAACTGTCATGTTTCATAGGACACCCTGTATGTGCACTTACACACTATAGTTTCATCTACAAGTTGAGGATTAGTGTTCAATGATTGTTTGCAGCATTAGTTCAACTTGTCTTTATTTTATTTGTTAAAAGTGTAATTTGACTTGAATTAATGTTGATTGTAGGGTTTATCAAAGCTTGTCAAGTGCCCACTGACTATAAACTTAAACCTTCTATTGTCAACCTCTGTAGTGTCCAATTGGTTCAAATATATATCAAGTTTGTCATGGTTTGTTTCTATCCAGATAAATGAACCCATAGATTAATTAAATTAACAGATAGAACACATAGATGTCGTCTTTTCAAGATTTAGGGTTTTTTGTTCACAATATAACCCTGAGGCAGACGCCAAATGTAGATTTACAAGACAGAGAGAGATCGCATTTTCTACGCCGACTGCGCGTAACTCCTTTATGCTATTGTGAACGAAAAGCCCCTATATCTTGAAAAGACGACATCTAGTTTTCTATCTGTTATTTTAATTATTCTAGGCTGAACTGAACCAATTGGGCTAGGGAAAGGTTTATAACTGAGTAGTAAAAGTGAGACAAATAAATAATTAAAAGGATATTTTTTTATATTCTATTTTTGTAGAGATACAGGGTGTCCCAAAAAACATGGGAATTAGCATTGTAATACCTAATTTCAAAAACCATAATATTATTATGTCTGCTAGAGTTTATTTTATGAAAAGGTTAAAATGTCTCCGCAAGATGAACAGTGAAGACGGACAAGTTTACTCTGTTTGTAAACTGTAATTTTCTTGTACAATCATATGCAGTCAAAACATAAACAAACAAACTGTAAACATAGCAAACGAAACTCTTACAGATTATAGCTTTCTCAGAAGGTATCACTAGACTAAATCAAAGAATTATTTGAAAAGACTATATCGAATTCGTCACTGAATTCCAATATTTATTGGGACACCCTGTATGTTCGTAAATGTTCTTCCAGTCTTCTTCCCTTTTGTTGCAAATTACTTCGCTAAAATCAACAGTAGGTTATTTTTTTCCTTTCCCTTCCATTCTCATATCCCCTCCGTCCATCCTCATTTTCTCCTCCCCTCATACCCTCTATCCTTATATCCTCATTTTCTCCTCCCCTCATACCTCTATCCTTATATCCTCATTTTCTCCTCCCCTCATGCCCTCCATCCTCCTATCCTCATTTTCACCTACCGTCATGCCCTCCATCTTCCTATCCTCATTTTCATCTCCCCCTATCCTCATTTTCACCTCCCTCATATCCTCCATCCTCCTATCCTCATTTTCACTTCCCTCATACCCTCCATCCTAGCCTATCCTCATTTTCACCACAAAA